CCACCAGCAAAGTTGTTGAGCTTTTTTGGGGAAACCTCCCCCCAAAATAGTGATTTTTTTAAGCTTTTGGAGCTATTTCTGCAGCTTTCTCCATTGCGTTGCTATACTTCTGGGTTTTCCATGATGTTTTGCCACTTCGGCAAAGTTCACCCCGGCACCATTTTTATACCCGAAAACCAGGACATGTCAAGAATTTTCCTGATGTATAGCAAGCCTAGCTATATATAGTTTCATAATAAGTAGGAAAAGCCATTCATGCATATTTTCTAGGCATTTTTCTGAACAGAGGGAACGTTGCATCAAAAAATGTCACAATACAGCAAATCATGGGAGCCACCTACTGTTCAAAGAGAACATAGCACCTCAAAATTAACCACCCGTGGCTATCAGTGTTCAGATGTCTATAACTTCTAGAAGCCCAAATAAATAAAGGTTATATTTTATTCGTGGCTGCTGAATTGGCTCTGTGGAATTTCAAAATGGAGAGTGCAGTCTTTAAACTAGTTTTCTTTTCATATTAGGAAGTATGAGGTCTTAATTATGACGCATTGCCTTTTTTTCATACTTCCTCAACTCTTTTAACAAAAGCAATAATTAAATTCTAAAATGAAAGGTGTCATGACGCTCCAGATCTTCTTGAAATCTTGCATCCAGACCATCTTCCTAGATGGGTGGAAAAGGAAGAGCTGTGCTTACTCAGTGAAGTAAATGTTCTCTGAACATGCCCAACTATGTTGTTGTTGTTTAGTCGTTTAGTCGTGTCCGACTCTTCGTGACCCCGTGGACCAGAGCATGCCAGGTACTGCCTCCCACAGTTTGTCTTCCACTGCCTCCCACAGTTTGTCTTCCACTGCCTCCCACAGTTTGGTCAGACTCATGTTTGTAGCTTCGAGAACACTGTCCAACCATCTTGTCCTCTGTCGTCCCCTTCTCCTTGTGCCCTCCATCTTTCCCAACTTCAGGGTCTTCCAGGGAGTCTTCTCTTCTCATGAGGTGGCCAAAGTATTGGAGCCTCAGCTTCAGGATCTATCCTTCCAGTGAGCACTCAGGGCTGATTTCCTTCAGAATGGATAGGTTTGATCTTCTTGCAGTCAGTGGGACTCTCAAGAGTCTCCTCCAGCACCATAATTCAAAAGCATCAATTCTTCGGCGATCAGCCTTCTTTATGGTCCAGCTTTCACTTCTATACATCAGTACTGGGGAAACTATACCCTTTTTTAAATAGTTGGATATTTCAGGGCTAAGCCCTGGGACTGAAAAGAGATTCTGAAATAAATACCTTGAATGGTGTTAATTGCTGGAGCACAGTAAGTGAAACTATATATCTATATATATAACCACACCTATATCTATTTACATGGGCTTTATACTGTGACTTTACTGCAAAGTTTTTCTGTGACAAGGTGTTTGTGTGAACACGCAACACTTGAGAAAATCAACAATTACTAAAACATTTGCTCTGGCATGCTGAGTGCTGATTGTTCCAGGTGGGGGATATTTTGCACTTAACACCTCACCACATGAAGGCAGTGTGGTAAAGTTACCACATGAGGTTTTTACTGCATCATAAAACAAGAAATTCAGTCCTTAGATCTCAGCTAAACAAACACCTTCTTCCAAACACCATACGGAGCCCCACTTTGGTTCCCCTTGAAATGGCACAAATGACATTGCAGAATGCAGGTCACCCCCACCCCCCACCCCCCCACCCCCCGTGCCACAACCACCGAGTTAAAGTGCATTTCAGTGAATATAAAACTTAACTTATACTACTCGGTTCTGCTTTCAGACCTGAGCCTCTGTGCTGACAGACTGTCAGTGCAAACACATTTGATTACGCTTTCGTCTGAAGCAAATAGCACTGCCAAATCTTGCCGGTAGATGTCCTCTTCTATAAATTTGAAATCAAATAGCCATGATTAAGACGGAACAAAACAAGATCTACCATTAACTTCAGTGAGAACTCTTGCTAAGTAAGTTCTAGTGCAGATGTTGCTGCACTTCATCTTTCCTGGCCATTGGCCATGCTTGCCAGCACTGGTGTGAGTTGCAGTTCCACAACATCTGGAGGGCCAGAGGTTCTCTGCTCCTGTGACACTAATCATAGTTCCACCCTTATGTAGCCAAAACAGCACTAACCATGCACAAGAGGGTGGTGTCCACAAATTTGGAGGATCACTTTGTATGCAGGTGTGCAATAAAATATTAGGGGGGACCCTCAGCATTGAAGGCCAGCCTCCGCAAAAAATAATAATATACAGGTCAGTGGGAATGAAATGCACAGAATGCTGACTGACTTCCAGAGGTGGTGCTGAAGGAATGAGGGGAGAATACAAAACTGGAGGGGGAATGGAATGGAATGTCCAGCAAAAGGGCAAAGTCCCAGCCAGCCAAGACGCCAGTCAGCCATGGATACTCCACAGCTGCAACGTTTTCTTACAGTCTCCATTTATTTTATTTCATGAATGTTGTGACTCACCCACCTCTTGCTGCCCTTCAGTAGATATATTCTCAGGAAAGGTCACGTCAACAAAACAAAACTGAAACTGAAACACGTTGTGTCCTCATCTACACTAGATCACAAGGCTTGGTGTGAAGACACAATGTGTGACCTTGAGGAAACTGGGCAGGTGCAAGTCTTGCCAGTTTGTGCTCGATGGGAGGTCACATCTGAACTCTGCGTATGCTGTCTTCATACACAGGCAGAATGGGAGTGTGGTTCAATCAAGAAAATAGCATTTAAAGTCTGTGCTGAGTCTATAGAGAATGGCTAACCTGTTTGTTTCTGGTACCGTTCCGTCCAAGGCTGCATACAAGTTACCCTTTACTCTGACTCCAATGCATTCCCATCAATGGTGTTTGGAGGCGTTTGCAGATGGCGTTAGCCACAATCCATATCTATCCTGCATTTCCCCCCAAGAAATCTTCACGTTTGATGCGTTTCCCCTCAAACCAGCTTTCATCCCATTTGAAGCCACAAGATGCACTTAAGCTGATTTGTGTACAGTTCAGACAGCTGTTGCATCAGTGCAGGAGACACCTTCCTTGAATTGGTGTTTGGAGAGTTACAGGTGCACTCTCTGCTTCCTCTGTGGTATGTGCAGCAAGTTCAAATGAGACCTGGAAGTCAGTGGGGTGAAATGACCTTGCTGTGTTTTATGTAGCTAATGTGTGCATACCCCGGAGTTAAGTAAGGGAGTGCTAGAAGTTAAAATACCATTACATGCCACCCCCCAAAAGGTTGGGTTCGAGCACTTACCCAAGGTTCAATTTTCTTGGAATGAAGGTCAGCTGAGATTGCAGTGTCTTTAAGATATATGGTTTTATTTACTCAAATGTACAACCTGAGCCTAGGATGGAGAGGCTCACAGCATGAACATCCCCAAAGAACTCGCTCCTCCATTAGTCACAGTTTTAGGTTCAGCACAGAGCATAGAAGCATAGAATCATAAGATATATCTCTCCACCTGCAACTTTTCACGTTCAGCTTTTCAGCTCACAGGCACAACAACTGTCTAGTCCAGCCCTCCCCTCACTCCCTGTCCTTTGGCCTATTGTTCTCCATCGCTTCGCTGTAGCTGTGGCAACCTAGCTCATTATTGCTGATGAGGGCACTGAAGTGGCCAGCTAATTGTTTTACAAAGAAACTTGTCTGACCAGTTCAACAACCTCTTCTACTAGATTCTAACCCCCCACTGGATATACGATCCCAAGAATTGGAAGGGACTTGGGGCATCATCCAAACTACCCCCCCCCAAAAAAAATACCACTATTGATCAGAAAGAGGAAGGATTGCTAAACTTGTTGAGTGATATGTCAAGGAGAAGTGTGAACTGTGGTTTCCAATACTTGAAATAGGTACAAATGCTACCATATAGGAATAGAAAAGAACAGAAGTACATACCAAATTTGATTTTGAATAGTACTCTGAGGGGGAGGTGGTACCCAAGGATATTCTCCAGCTCCCTTATATTTGCACAAACATGAGTGATGTTCTTATTCCAGAACAGATAACCTGACATATGAACAGTTGTGTTAATGCTAGAAAAGTGATAATTGGTTTTAAAACCATGATTTTTTTTAAAAAATAATTCCTGTGTTCTTTTACACTGGCCATGTTATTTTGAAACGTTAACATCTACTGCCACGATATTTTCAAGATTATGTGTACTTTGCGAGAGCTACAAACATAGTTGTGACAGCAGCAAGCATTAACTCTGATAAAAGGCTGCACAAAATCTCTTTCAGTCTAAGGAAAATCTGTTGCTTGTCTGTTTTCTAAGCTACTTTTATAGAGAAAAAGGGGAAGAAAAGCACAAACATGAAATTTAATTTCATACTCATTTTGAGAAAAAACATGTTCTGTAATGTAATTGTTATTTCTAAGTTCTAAACCAATATGAGTTGCCCGGTATTTTTCCCCTCACACATTTGCAGTGCTTTTCTTTGTTTTAGAATTTGCAAGCGTGCTCTTTGGCAGCTAAATAATATGTCTCGCTGTAAAGTTAATACTACTTATTAAAAACCACCGACATGGTAGTTTCAGATTTCGAACTCCAGACTTTTTTCTTTTACTGTGTGAGAAATTCCTACACTGTGGAATGGGCACGTATCAGGCACTGAGAAAGCCCAGCTGGAGATTTACTCACAGATTTTCTTGTTCTCCATGGTTAGTGTAAATAACTCCATAGGTACGGCATTCTTTTTCCACTCGCTTGCAATATTTAATCATGTTGTATTCATTTTTCATTGAAGAGTCCCTTCTATAGACTTGATTGCCATTTCACAATGACCCAACATTAAAAGTACCTATTTTTTGGCACCTGCTAAAAACAGTTTTGTTTAGGCAAGCCTGTCTGGACATGTAGAATGCTGACATGTGTTTTAACATAGTTTTTAACTTATTGTTGATTTTAATTATTTTCCGAATGTTTTAAATAGTGTTTTTAACTTTTTCTTTTCTTATAGTTTTACTGTTTTATCCTTTTATGTACACACACAGAGAGAGAAAGAGCTTTATTGCAGTCCATAGAACCAAAATACACTGTATAGCAATGGTATATGTATCAACAGTTACTGAGGTGTAAGAGCGGCCTTGCTAGTCAACAAAGGAGTTTTAGCCCATACATACTGGTTTTAAGTAAGGTTTTATTACAATGCAACAGTATATAACCTTGCAAAATAAACAAATAAAATTATTTCCCCAGGTAGAACCACTACTCGGGTTTTAAAAAGGAGGCAGTATTGCCAGTTTTAGTTTTAGAATTTCTACAGAACATTGCTTGCCAGGTTCAGACCTTGAGATGAGCTCCTTTATTTTTAAGGCTGCAATCCTACACACTTATACTTGGGAGCAGAGCCAACTCACCAGTGAAGTAGGGCAATGCACCCAGCTCAGGCAGCAGAAGCAGAAAAGATGACACCACAGCCAGCACTGCTGCCAGAACACTTCCCTCTCGCCCGTGAGAAGCAGGCGTTCCAGCACACAGCGTTGCCGCTCATCTTCTGGGGTGGAGAAGATGCGAAGCAACGCCTTGACTCTCTGCAAGTTTGATGAGAGGTGGGGGCATCCTGCTGGTGGCTGAAGTGGAGTGGATGGGGCACGGCAGGGCAGGGAGCTGTACATTCCTGTTGCGCCTCAGGTGGGAGTAAGAGCCATTTAACTTACTTCTTGGGAGTAAGAGCCATTTAACTCAGTGGGACTTTCTTCTTATGCAGATGGGCATAAGGTTAGGTTGTAAGAACTGTAGGCATTTCATGGGTCAAGACACAGCTGATGAAATTCTGCCTTCTGTGCAAGTCCTAAAGAAGGCTAATGGAACTCTTTCTCCTATGAACCTTAAAATCAGCTACAAAAGCAGACAGGTGAATCTAAGAGCCCATCTGCACAGCAATTTATTTTCAGCAAATGGATAGATGCCAAAGTAGTGCAACAATTCCCCAGAGTCCTAACAGCCATGCTGGAGCCCAGAGCTTTGGGTAGTCCCTGTCAGCTGTGTAGCTGATAGGAGCAGAGGGCTATTGGTCTATTTAGTGCAGTATTGCTGATACTGATTGGCCCACTGACTGGCGCTCTAGAGTTTCAGGCAAGGATCTCGCCCAACCCTGCCTGGAGCAAATACTGTACCACTGAGCTGTGATGGACCTTCCCTTATGGACCAGTGCAATGCATATTACAGCACAATTTATATTATTGTGTTCTGGGTGTCCACATAAGGTGTGCTCATGGGAAGTTACATAACTCATTTCTCTCATTGTGCTTTGATTTGGCACTTAAAGCCCTGTAGATACAGCTCAGATGTGTCCTCCTGAGTACACTCCCCCAGATAGAAAAGTTCCCACAAGAAAGGCTTTTGGAGTCATGGATAGTTTTACAATATTTGCAAAAATCCAACATCCTGGTTCCTTCTGCTGTAGGAAACGCTCTTCAGCTTTATATTCAAGCTTGATATACAGCTGTTTCGGGATAGTAAGTCATGAACAGCAGCACTCTCTGTTTGAAAACATTTGCCAGCCGAAAAGAGAGCCATTGACCTTGCTTGTGACTCTTGAAAATGCCAGCTAGCCAGAAAGAGGCGTATATTATATTACGGGCATGTGGTTTGTCAGTGTTACACTGCATGCCTTGCAGAAGGTCATTTGCAAGGTCATTGTGGCACAAACTGAAACGGATGATTCCATACAGCTTCTCTAGTATGTAGTGGGCCCACCATTCATTGGAGCTGATGATACTTTCCATCGTTGCTATGTTTTATTACAGTGGATTTTTGCACTTTGCTTGTGGCGCTGATGGTGTAAAATAACCTACATGGAACACACCAAAAGAACAGCACATGCACAAACACAACAGTTATACTGTGGTCTGTGCTGAATAGTATGGAAAACACCACCAGCATAAAGAAGCAAATCCCATTGAGTTCAATTGTACCAACTACTGGGTAGACCTGTGTAGGGTTGTGTTGTAAAGGTGGGTAATTACTGTCAGAGCCTGTTTACAAAATTTACAGTTTATAGAGGCAGTAGAAGCATTGAAAAGGATCAGATTGGAACTTCTATGCTGGCATCACCATATTCTCCCCTGCCCACCCCGATGTCCAAGGCAGGGGGAAAATAATAGGGTTACATTACATATAAATTGAGAAGTTTTCCATGTCTCTGAAGAATTGCTAACCACCATAAACCTTAATGTGCTTTGCCCTTTGCAGAACTCTTTCCTTTCATAAAACTGCATGATTGAGTTCCATGGAGATCAAAAGTGCTTTTAAATGTTACGCTTGAGCCTTCCTGCTTTTTTCCCTTTAAGTACATCATATTGAAGAGCTGCTCCATAATCCAAAACTGTACCAAGACTCTTCTTTTACATACAATGAACCGAAACAGAGATTTCTTTGCTAACCCCTCCCCCCCCCAAAAAAAATATCCACAAGGCTTTTTTATTACCATTGAAAGCATGGCTATAAAAAAATAAAACCAGAATTGGATTTGCATTACAGTTTTTCAAGCACCCATTTAGTTTGAAGAAAGCCCACCAAAACACTTAAGTGCTCCTCTCCGTTGGAGGGGGCCTCTTGACTGGAAATAGTAAAACAGAGCATCAAAAACTGTTTTGGGGGTGCTATTTGATTTCTAAAGGCTTCTGTGTAAAATGATATTGCCATGGCAGTAAAGACAGAGGCAGTGCAAAACCCTAGAGGCAGGAACATCAGTGTCCAATGGCTCCCCTAGTGGCCAAAATATAATGCAAAATTTTCTTAGGAATGGAGCTGACCATTAGCCATGGAAATATCTTCATTCTTTTTCTCTAAAGTTTCTCTCCATCCTCTCCCCCGGTTGCAAATGAAAGCAGCCGGCACTTCGTTGAAAGCCTGGCCACCATTCTGCATCCTTCACACAGACCTGAAGTTGTTCCAGGTCATAGAAGAGGGGGAAATGATGGTTGCCACACACAAAAATGGTAGAACATATTCAAATAAAATTCTGCAAAGTGGCCATCTTTCTCTCATCCCACAAGAAAAAGATAACCTCAGAACCTGTCTCAGAAAAATGTCTTCTAAGAATTTTCATCTCATCTCATAAAAACAGCATGTCGGTGTTGTTTTTCTCCTCAGTTGGGAAAAATACACATATGAAAATATAACTTAAATTCTATCTGTCATTTTGGGCATCTCAAAACATGAAGTGTTTTTATGCGTGAGCCAGCTCTGATTCTTGACAATAACTAGGGTTTTAATGCGGCACAGTTTAAAAACCCAACATAGAATTATATAATATTAAAATATAGATGTCTTGGTTAAATATAATGTCATTCCCCTTGTAAAAAGGGCGACGGGGCAAATATATTCACAAATGTACACATTTTAAAGTGACGTCTCCTCTATATACATATTTTTGGTCCAGTGGAATTCCAAGGGCCTCGGATTTCAATGGAGAGCCGCCTTCTCGTTGCTGTTGGGAGTTCTCAGCAATGTCCGAACGTGGCCGGAGCTGGTTTCAAATCTCAGCCAGCTCATAGTACATGATAGATGAGCTTGGGATGAGGGGTCTCCGGAGTGCCTGGCTGTGACTCAGGGCTGGCACCAGGAGAATCCTGCAGCAAAGTGGAGTCCTGCAGAGAGAGGCCCGCCTGGTCCGAGGAAGAGATTCTATCCACTATGCTGGATAAACAATCCAGACTGGAGAGGGCTGTGCTCACTTCAGACGGATAGACTGGGGCGGGGGAAGAAACAAAGGACATTCAATGGAAAGTAATAACATTAGACTTGGCATTAGATGGGCAGACTTAAGGCCCGTGGGATCTCTCTCTCTTTTTAGGTAAAACCAGTGCTTTTTCCCCCAGGGGTACTCAAAGGTACATGGTACCGGCACCTCTTTTTGTTGTTGTTTAAGAGTGTGGCACTTACTGTAACAACTTCACGGTGAGTACCGGCATCTCTTTTTCTAGAAAAAAAGCACTGGGTAAAAAAACCACTGAGATCCACTAATCAGACTAGATCCAAAATAGAGATTGGTGTTGGGCTAGAGTCAGAGGCAAAATGGTGGTTCAGGGACAGAGCCAATTACCTCCTGCTTTGAGATGATTTGCCTCTACAAATCTACATCTGAGGCTGCAAACATGACAAACATTCACACTGGATTTCCCCCCTCAAAGAATAGTTTATTAAGGGATGCTGGGGACAGTAATTCTGTGAGGAGTAAACTGCATTGGCCAAAATTATTTGAGGGGGGAAATGGGCTTTAGATGGGCTTTAAAAGTATAGTCTGTAGGAAGCTTGAGTTCCTTTGTTCGGCATAAACTTCACATGGGGCAAAAGCCTCCTTTGCTGTTGCTATCATTAAGCAACTGAGAACCAAACACCCTTGCTGATCTACTGAAAAGCACCCAGAAATCTACCAGCAGATCTCAATCTACCATCTGCCAACTCCTGATCACTATGGTTTATTGCTTTGTACAGTATATTATTATTTTTTATCCCAGCTTGAGCATTTTTAATGAATAGGCAGTTGGCAGAGAATATAATTGAAATGCAACTGAAGCTGCCCTCTCCTGTTGGCCCTTTGCTGATCTTCCATCAGAGAGAGCACCTCTCTGGTCTTGATTTTATCAGCACTTCCTTGGAGTGGGAAAAGGACGCTGAGCCTTACCATTTTGGAGATCAGAGCAATAGACGTTGTCATGAGCGACGTTTCTTCTGGACCACATCGGGATGTTGCATTCAGTCTGAAAGATGAGAGAAGAAATGAGTCGCATAGCAATTCCTGCAATGGCTGCTACTTCTGCTGCAGTGGTGTTGGGCATCCAAGAAGGAGCACCCCAGAATAAGACAGGAAGCTATGGCAATATGGAGGTTACGTTCCACCTCCACTGACAGGCAGTAGGCCTTTGAATACCAGTTGCTGGAAACGGCAGGTCGGTAGGATGCTGTTGTGCTCAGGATATGCCTGGGGGCTTCCCAAGGGTATCTGGTTGGCCACTGTGAGAATAGGATGTTGGACTAGATGGGTCACTGGCCTGATCTAGCAGGCTCTTCTTATGTTCAACATGGGAAGCTGCTTTGGTCTACCTAGCTCAGCATTGTGAGTTGCCAGGGACTGAACCTGAGGCCATTTTCATGCAAAAGCATGCAAAAAGCATGAGAGCCAGTGTGGTGTAGTGGTTAAGAGCGGTAGTCTTGTAATCTGGAGAACCGGGTTCACGTCTCTGCTCCTCCACATGCAGCTGCTGGGTGCCCTTGGGCTAGTCACACTTCTCTGAAGTCTCTCAGCCCCACTCACCTCACAGAGTGTGTGTTGTGGGGGAGGAAGGGAAAGGAGAATGTTAGCCACTTTGAGACTCCTTCGGGTAGTGATAAAGCGGGATATCAAATCCAAACTCTTCTCTCCTGCTAAGCTACATAAGTGAACCTTCTCAATAAAGGTTTTCTTTCACAAATAAACTTTATGGATGGACTTTACTCATAGTCTGACTGACAGATTTTCTCCCAGGTTAGGGTGGCTAGCAATGACCCTGTGACTGAGGATGTGTGGGTGCTTGGTTTTGTGTTATCTCAAACCAGGTGCCTTGTTTGAAATTGGTTCTGCCTATTTGGTTTGCTGCTGTCCTTTTTCGCCGAAGCAGCTTCCTTCTTCCGTAGTCCAAAAGATTCTGGGTCCTGGACGGTAGTGTTTGTAGGAAGCTGCCCATGGAAGCTCCTAATGCTTAGCTTCCAAAACAAGAGATTTGGGCCTGTGCGGTTTATGGAGCCACCTGCCTTGAAAGCCCTGCTCCCAACAACCCCTGGTGTATGGTTACTCATTGGAATGTTTATGTACTCAGAGACTCTCTATACTATGCCACATGTTCAAGGTCTGAGACCTGGCATTAAAAGAAGGAGCCCTGGTGAGCTGTGCTTCACTTTGAAGTCTTGATCTTGCCTACCTTTCAAGAGGAAGTTGGTTGGAAGACCTTCCCAACTACCGGTATGTGATACTATATTGTTATTATAGAATCATATAGTATTGGTGCTGCTGCAGAAAAGCAACGGAGTAGCAGCTTAAAACCTATGCGGTGCAACAAAGAATTGGCTGCATGAGTTTTTGTTCTCCGCAACTACTCTGTAATCACCATTTCATTTCTGAAATGCACTTCATTTCTAACCAACCCCATTTCTCTCCATCCCTGCTCCCCCACCTCCCATATTTACATATTTACATATGTAAATCTGTATATATCCTTGCCTATTCAGATTACACTTCATGGAGCTGATGGACTCCAGCCTACAAAAGTTTACTAATGAACCAAAGGAGGAGGCCTCTCAATAAAACATGCAGAACAGCAAAACCACAAACCCATGCGTGATAAGACTCTTTGTTACAATATTACTACAAATAGTAGTAGTCACATGGGCAGATCAGCTACTGAGATTGCTTCCAGACAGGAGTTTTTTGCTGTGCGTCCACACATAAGTTTTGTTTTTTGCAGCGCCCATACCCCCATAACATCATCGGGCTGCAAGCCCATATTTTTTTTGGGGGGGGGGGTTGTTTTATATTTAATTTAGATTTAATTTGACAGCTGAACATGCAAAAAGTTTTTTTTAAAAAAAACTGTTAAACATCTGCACTTGCTGTTAGAGTGGAAGCTCATTAGCATCATTTGTGGGGGGGGGAGGGGGGATTGTCACATGTGTGGTGGTGACCTTTTCGTGGGTGGCCTCTATCACTCCCTCTGCTACTTCTATTTGCTGCTTACCCAAGCACAACTAGCCATTTTGTTCTGGGTGCCCAAACAATGCAAGCATACATATTTCCACCAATTGTAGCCTACTGAAAATGTGGCCAGATTTCAACAGCCCAGTTAGAAGGAGCTGGTTTCTCAGGGACTCTGCTGGGTGGGAACACCTTGCAGACTAATATGTGCATTGCAGGGGGTTGGACTAGATGACCCTTGGGGTCCCTACCAACTCTATAATCCTATTATTCTATTCTATGATAATGCGTTGTGCACTTTTAAAAACACACCATTGCAGAGGTTTTGTGCAACACCTCTATATCTCCTGTGCAAGCCTTAATCCAGTAAATATCAGCTCTTGCACAAGACCTGGATTTAAAAATTTAAAAAAATTATTTTGTTTAGTGCAAGCTTCCATTTTCTGATTGTGAAACAAAATAATTGATGCTTTTGCACATTCCCTGGTTTGTTTATTTTTCAAGAAGATGTGCACACACATACACAGAGGTACAGAAATACCTGTGCACGTGGCCAGAAGAGAAAATGGCACTGGAGAGGAGGGATGGTTGAGAGGAGGGAATATACTATCTCTCAATACACTCCATCAACTTCCACCCTCTGGTGTGGATGGGAAACAATGGAATAGCAACGAAAATCCATGACTGGGAGAGGGGGAGAGGACAGGAATGTGTGTAAGCTGATGTTCCAGACAGATGGTGCCAGACAAATAATGTACACAGAAAAATAGGATCTGAGTGGCCCATTTGCAATTTAAGCACTTCCCCACAATCTGGCAGGAGCACCCTGAATTGCCACAGCTGGTAGTAGTAACGATAGCATTTCTTATGAATTTGGTTAAATCGGATGGGAGCCTGGCCCTTGCCTGAACAGAGTGTATTTTCTGCTTTCTGGAGGAGGGAAGAAACCACTGAGAAGGCAGCCAACCAGCCCAGGCGCAGTTTTATGAGTTCCCTTTGACTTCCAATATTTCCTCAACGCTGTGCTCCGAGGAAGAAGGGGAACGAAGGCCAAGCAACCTGGGGCATCTCCAATCTGTGTGAGCTGCACTGACCATGGAGAATGGATTGGAGCAAGGGAAAGCCGCAGCCAGCCAGGACAGGACCCTTTCCCAGCCAGCCAGGACAGGACCCTTTCCCAAGCGCATCAAAGCTTGGCACATCCGGAGCCAAATGCCTGGTGAAAAGAATGTGGTTTCAACAACAACAACAGCAGTCCCATAACACAATGTGGGAGGGAGGCCGTTCTCTCCATCAGCAGGGAAGAAAAACTGGGAGAAAACAAGCGTCATCTCAGAGGGAGCTGTTGTTTCCACCATTACTTTGTCCATAGTTAAATCTTTTGATCAAATAAACATACAGTGGAAAACTCTGACAGTGCAATACTTGATCAGAAGTAAGTTAGTTCAATAGGGCTAAATCCAAGGAAATTTACACACCGATTTCCCAGGATCTTCCTCCTAAAGAAACGTGCTTAATAGGACCGCAGGCAACGGCTCCTTCAGCACGCCCAGAAAACTGGATTAGTTAGAATTTAAGGACTTTTCACTTGCCTGTCGATTTCAAACGGCTTTTCAAGATCTGGGCGTCTGGCTAATTGCTTTCATTAAGAGTGATCTATGACTAACACCACAAACCACAAACATGTTTACAGTACTTCCGTAATAGGGAACACGCTGAGTTCAACGTTCGCTTGCTTCCAAGAAAACACGCACAGGGTCACAGCCGGAAGCTCATTGCCTCGCTTGGAATTTCCTGGCCACGCGCGTTACAAAGAATCGCGCGTAAGATCGCAGCGCAAAGTGAGCGCAAGTTTTACATTTACTCCTTTGCTGACCCGGCCGCGGCGGCAAAACGCGCGACTTTCTCACGCAACCGTGTGGTCCCATGCGAGGCATAGTTAGTAAAACCGACGTGCCCCCTAGCAAAAATTCGGCTTATACTCCCAAATTATTTTGCCTAAAACTGCAGCCTTCCAGTTATTTAAGTCTTTTGCATTGTGTCACATTGCTTTGAAGGATATGCTCCTACCTTAGATCGACCTGATAAAAGTTGCTAGCTTCTGAACAACGCAAGGCTCTTCCTCAGAAGCAAACAATTTGGCCAATGACGCAACAAGTTTATGAAATCACCCCAAATCCATTTTGTTCTGACGTAAGTCAATTCGTTTCAGTGTTCAGCATTAAAATATATCATACGCTCACATTTCTCACCATCTGCAGACACGCGAACGGCTCCCGTATTTGACTATCTCCACCAGCAGAGAGGTCTATCTAAATGAGAGGACTGGGTTCAAGCGCGTGCTCAGCGAGGAGAATTTGCACTGCAATACTTCACCAGCTTACTTGGGAGTATTGAACTCAATACTTTGTTTTCCATCTGTCAGATGAGATGGATAACGACCTACCTCACAGGATTGTTGTGGATGAGGAAAGCATTTCCAAGCACATTGGAAATTCTCTAAAGACGACTAGCAGTCTATCACAATGCCTTGCTCTATGAGTGCGCGCACGCGCAACTAGCGAGATGCTCCATCCTCGCATCAGCTTAGTGTGCGCGCGTACCTTGCTCACCGAGGTTCAAAAGATTCTCCACTCTTGCCGTTTCCCCTCTGTTAGCCTTTACCTTACCATAGGCTGGTTTGTGTTTGTTTTTCTAATCTGTCTATATATATATATATAGGGGTGCGCGATCGGTATTTATTGTGATCGCGCTTAGGCAAGCCGCCTCGACTGAGGCCTTATGCGTCGGAAAGCGGGAGCGGAAACCATATCAGGACAAACCTAGACATAAAATGATCGTCGGAGGCAGCGTCTTCCAAGATCGCTATGCCCTTCTGCTCTGCAGAAAGCCCGGGCGCAATGCGTAACCTTGAAGCGCCTTTTGTTTCCAGGCGGCTTAAGGAAGCGCCTGCCTTTCCCCTCGCGGCGCTGCGAAGCTCCCCGCGCGCTCCACACCCGCCACGACCCCCGACGTGGCCCCCGCGCAGCCGCTTCCTCTGGGAGAGCGCGAAGAGGTCCCCTTTCCCTCCCTGGCCCGGTCCACCAGCCTCGGGTGGGGTCCCTCCGAAGTCCTTACCAGGCCGTCGGAGCAGCTGGAGATGGGGCTGTTGGGCTCGGAGCAACTTTGTCCTCCGGGCAAGCGGTAGTAGTGGTGCACTTGCTCCCTCAGCAGCTCCTGGAGGCTCTCGATGTAACGGATGGCGTTCCTCAGGATCTCCACCTTGGGCAGCCGCTGGCTGGGGTTGGCCGTGGTGCACCTCTTGAGAGCCTCGAAGGCTTGGTTGACTTTCTTCAGCCTCCGCCTCTCCCGCAGGGTGGCCGCCTTCCTCCGGTCCACCGTGCTCGACTTCTTCTTGCAGGCTTTGCAAGCCCACAGCAGGCAGTGGCCGGCTTGGTGGTGGCCCGTGGGCGCCCGGACGTGCTCCTCGCCGTCGGATCCCCCGGGCAGATCTGCCGGGTGCGCTCCGAAGGAAGAAGTCGAGGACGACGAGGAGGAGGAAGCTGCCACCCGCTGCGCGAAGTCCTCTTCCACCAGTTCCTCCTCGGGGGAAGGGATGCAGGAAGAGCTGTCGTAGAAGAAGACGGCTGAGGATGGAGAGAACTGGCAGCCGTCCATCAACTCGTCCATCCTTGGAGCTGAGGGCGCGCCAGGCGCCCGGGATCTGGGAGCCGGGCAGGCCAGGCCGGGGCTCTTTATACCCGCAGGACAGGCTAGGCTGCCCACCCAGGGGCTGCCTACTTGCTCAGAGCATCATCATCGCCACGACCCCTACTTGGGGATGGGATTGGACGGGGGGACGTCTGTGTAGAGCTTCCCCCTCCTCTCTCCCAAGGGGACAACAGTCTCTTTCCCAGCTCCTTTTGGCTGCTGCCTTTTAAAGGCGCGGATCCGGGAGGCTCAATTAGTAGCACTTTGGAGATCAGAGCAGAAGGAAGAGAGACAAGCAGGAGCAACCAGGAGCGGGGGCGGGGGGAGAGGCCGCCTTTCAAAAACGCGACGGCTCAGTTAAGTGTCAGGTCAGTTCCCGCCTTCAGGAAGCCGATGGCTCCATCCTAGGCCTTCTGTTTAGAAGGAAATCCCACAGGGAAAGTCCTCTTTCCAAGGAAGGGTGCATTCCTAACTCCACTTTCCTGGGAGTTTAGGACTTTCTTCTGAGTAGACGTGGCTAGGAATGCAGCTTTCGAACGGGCTGACCTTTGTTCTTAAGAAGAGAACAAAGTTGGACTATCGTCGAAGATTTCAGGTAGCCGCGCTTGTCCATGGAAGCAGAGGTGCCAAACGGAACACGAAAGACAATTGAAGGAACCTGCTCAAAAGCCATTAGGCAATGCGGCAGGCACATTCGGAAACTTTCCTGCTGTTCCTATGAGTTAAAAATTACTATGTGTGTCCGCCCCCAGTTTCAGAGGGACGATCGCAGCCCTAGAGTCTCTATCTTAGAATGATCATATTGTAGAGTTGCAAGGGATCCCAGGGTCATCTAGTCCACCCCCTGCAGTGCAAGAATCTTTCACCCAAAACAGGGCTCGAACCCACAACCCTAAGATTAAGAGTCTCATGAGCTGCCTATGGACAGTAATAGTAATAATACCAGAACACACACACGCTCCTTTCTAATGACTGATCAAAGCTTTCACTACTCCTGGCTTCCCAATGCGGCGGGCTTGGAGAATGATACCTAATGTTCTACCAGCAATTCGGAATTTCCTGATGGGCAGGAGGAGGAGAAAATTTCACATAATTTTCCTTCCACCCCACCCTCTCAAAGGCTGACACTTTCTTAAACCGAATGGTTAAGATCATTGGGCAAGCAAAGAGTCAACATTTAAAGCCCCGTTGACTGTTAGTCCTGTGGAACGCCCTCCCATCAGATGTTAAGGAAATAAACAACTATCTGACTTTTAGAAGACATCTGAAAGCAGCCCTGTTTAGGGAAGTTTTTAATGTTTGATGTTTTATTGTGCTTTTAATATTCTATTGGGAGCCGCCCAGATGGGCAGGGTATAAAATTATTATTATTATTATTATTATTATTATTATTATTATTACTACTACTACTACTACTACTACTACTACAGCAGGGAGAGATAAGGATTTGTGGAGTGGGGCGCATGGGGTGTTAAAATCTTGACTTGGTCCCCCCCCCCCAGCCCCTGCTTCTGCGGAGTCACCGGAAGCCACTGCTCTTCCTGATTTCCCAGCCCAAAGACAGGCTGCTTTAGCCCAAGCAACTCTTGCCCTGCCGCCTTTCCTCCTCGCTCTCTTATTTCCCCCTTTGCTGCGGTTTCATTTTGACAGAGGCTGCGCCGGCGGGAGGCGGCTCCAATCCTGTCTCTGCACCGTTACAGATGCGTTCCAGCTGCCACCGCCCGCCCCGCCCCTCCTCTCAGGGTAAAGTTTCGAGTCTCACAGATCCTGAGCAGCTTGACACGAGGCGGTGGGAACAGCCTCCCTGGGGTCCCAGCAATTAAGAAGTGCAGCAGGGCAGGCGGAAGGAGGGGGAGCCTCAAGGTGGGCTAGGAAAAGGCTTTTTCGAAAGCCTTCGTCAAGGCCCCAACATGCTTTCCCCAGTTTGCATCCTGCACTTTTTAAGCGCTACTTTTCCTGTGGAAAGAGGTCGGTATTAAACGGCCGCATACGAAGGGAGAGGGCAGTTTCGATCCGTGTTCCTGAGTCCAGATGCAGAGAAAGCTCTTGCCTTCTGGCAAGGCTTCTTGCTGGCCTGGATGCGAGAAAGGGGGATGGAAGAAGTCCGTCTAGGAAGGCAAAATGCGTTGCTCCGCCCACATTTGCTTCTGGACCCACCCGCTACTGGAATGTGGCCCCCGGAACATTGTCTAGAAAGGAATGCGGCCCTCCACCTGTTGAAAAATGTTTCCTATCTATGATGCAGTGTAGGCGAACGAATCCGAAAAGGAAGTTAAACCGTTGACTTCAGTGGACTAATACTGATTTTGTGCGGATATTGGGTTCATTTTGTAACTTATTTGTTACTTTTTCACAATAAAAAAACCACTTTATTTTTCAGCGTTGAAACGCATCGAAAGAGAAGTAGTAATAAGTAAGTCAAAAGGTATTCGAAGGGGCGTACACAAATACAGACCCAAAGTAAATGTCTTGTATGAACAATTAACAGATGAATTGCTGAGTCCCTTCTTCGCTGCTCAAAGGAGAGCAGTGATTAGGGCTATGTCTACACTTAACCCCCCCCCCCAAGAAACCTGAAAATTTTACTGAGAATCGGAGATCTCGTCCATCTTCACTGGGGTGGATCGACCATCAATAATAATTGATCATCAATAATAATTGATGGTGGACTACTTTACAATAAATAATAGCGAAAGGTAACAGAGGTGCCTTCAATTAATATTTTAAGGAAAGGTGAATGCTGTGTGTGTGTGTGTGTGTGTGTGTGTGCGCGCGCGCGCGCGCGCAGCATTCACCTTTCGTGTGTGTGTATAAGCTAATACATAATATAAAGCTTTCATTTTAGCGAAGGCGATTTCTGCCTATTATAAAGCTATAAAGCACAGGCGTGTCTGTCTCTTACACATGCTTTGAATATATTCCCCACTTGATACAGGTAAATGTTTTGAGTCATCTCTCTCCCCTAATAACTTCCCAGCCACCATAGCGTTGGCTAGGGCTGAAGGGGGTTCTCGCGAGCACCAGATTGGCGAAGGCTGCTCTAAAGCAGTTTGCAGAGGAGGAGACGCTGGTAGAAAATAAACTTCTGGACAACCGGCAGATCCGTTCCTCTGGTTTCGGGGAGGAATCGCCCACCAAGCAAAGAAAGAGGTATTTGGTGAGCTGTAACTCGAGGACTGGCTCGGATGGAGGTTTTGAGCTCGCGGATTCCCCAGGGGCGAAAATTAACCCGTTTACCGATTTATCCTCCGAAGAACACAAATAAACTTGATCTTTTGCAAGCGCCAGCCGCCTTTTCCAGGGCGCTTTCTCTGCAAATCAGCTCGGTGGCTGAGAGGGCCTCGCAGCGGGGCTAATAATACAGTTTGATTCCTATCAGGAGGACCAGAAGCGCTGCGCGTCGCTCGCCTTGTTGCTTCGTGACCTCAGGGGGCATCAAATACTCGAGCAGATGCGCAAAGGGATGGGAAGCATGGCTGGTGCAGTCGAAAAGAAATCGTTAAGAAGGCGAGAACTAGCCTGGATAAAGGATACACCACCAGCTCATAGAGAGCTGATTCTTGTGAGCTGAATGGAGAATGTGCAGAGACGCCAGTTATTGTGCGCATTCGCCAGGCGTTGCTCAGAAAGCGCTTAGTAGCTTTTGCATATTCCCCGCCAATGTTCTGTTTAAAAAGCTCGCTTATGGCGAATGTGCACATTTTCAAGTCAACAGCCCCGAAGCTCCAATCATTACTTGACAGTCAATCATGCTTCTATCAGGGAGTTTCTGAACGTCTGAAAGTACAGAGAGGAAAGTGCCTTTACAGGAATGCTGTCAAAATATATGGCAATAAAAGATTTCTTAGATTTTGGAAGGAGAACTCGGTTTTTTCACCGGGACAAGGAGAGAGACTGAGTCTTTTTCGTAGTTTATTTGGAGTTTAGATGCACCCTCACAGAGAAACAAAAAATGAGCCATTGAATCAACAATACTATCAATTTTTCTCGAGCCAGTGGCTGCACCTGATGAGCGCGTTTGAAGCACACCGCCCCCAAAACCATGGAAACTGTAGTTTACCCCTCACAGAGCTTAACAACACACTTAACAAACTACAGTTTCCCATGATTCTTTCCTGGAAGCTATTTGCTTTAAATTTATGGTGTGTACGCAAGCCCAGTGCTTCTTTCTTTCTCTTGAGTAAGACGCGATCCCTCCAGGCTTCGTTGTGGTGATTATTGAAGGGATATTTGCGCTTACAGCACGTCAGTTCTCGTCTCCTTTGTCCAGAGCTTTTGGGAAAGTCCTGGGCTGCTTTCTCCTGCTAAAAGGAGCGCTGGTCTGTGTGTGTCGTCACTCCAGCAAAAGTGCATTTGGTATCTCTCGGAGGAGCCGGCTCCCTTTTTGTAAGCTGATCTCAAAACAAATTTGCAAATGTCCAGCCGGAGAGAGGAACCAGAGAAGCAGGGAGTGGGGGAGCAAAGGAGTTGTCCCCCCCAGAGGAGGCACTTGTGGGAACCGGGCACCGACTGAGTGAGTGAGAGGCTGCACGTGGAGGGGAGAGAGCCGGCAAGAAGTTGACCCGTTCCCTCTTTTCAGAGGCCTCTACAAAGCTGTGAAGATTTTTACGCAGGGCTCACGAGAGGCTGGCTAGAGATTGAACCTGCTTTCAGTTCCAGCAGGTCCAGCCAGTATTCAAATCAATGGGAAGTCAAGGGCGAACTAAGCTCTCATTGCCAGAATAAGTTGCCAAAACTATCGAAGGACAAGGCGTCTGGCCTGCTCCCCTACTTTTGCGTAGGTTTCTGCTACACAGGATCTGTTCCACATCCCGTGGAAATTCCAATACAGTACTTACTTTTTTGCTACAGTGTGGGGGAGGAGTTTGCAAATCTTTGCATTTATCAAACGCAAGGTTGTTTGATGTACAGTGATACCTCGGGTTAAGTACTTAATTTGTTCCGGAGGTCCGTACTTAACCTGAAACTGTTCTTAACCTGAAGCACCACTTTAGCTAATGGGGCCTTCTGCTGCTGCCGCGCCGCCGGAGCACGATTTCTGTTCTCATCCTGAAGCAAAGTTCTTAACCTGAAGCACTATTTCTGGGTTAGTGGAGTCCGTAACCTGAAGCGTATGTAACCCGAGGTACCACTGTATACAGCAAAGATTCGCACGATGTAAATAAGTGACAGAAGAAAGATAGGCAGTCTTAAGATTGAT